CGCCAGATTCAACCGCCTGTTAAAGTAACATAATAATATTATTTTGCTACCGCAATTAAGTTCCTAGCAGCATGCTGTCATACTCATCATGATTTTACCTATTTGGGCTATATTGTTTATACGGCGGTTACCCAGTGCGAGTAGCAACGCGAGCATCACTATAAAACTTTTTTTTCACATTGGTGCCACTGCTGGATCACTGGTATCAGTCATGATATCATTTTTCGGACAACTATACCCTAACATTTTACAGATCACATCATCACAAGTGTTTTTAATTTAAGACAATTATTTCAATTATTAATTGTCTTGTCCGTCGCCACTGTCATCGTCATCGTCGTCACTCTCATCATCACCGTTGTCACTCTCATCGTCATCATTGCCACTGTCACCACTGTCTACGTTGTCATCATCGTCGTCGTCGCCGCCGTTGACAAAAGTATGTTCTTCGGTATTATCCACGTGATATAGTATGCCAGCGTGTTTAAAAAAATCTGTCGTTGGGTCCAAATTATGTGACCGACAATGTTTGCTGAACATAAATTTAGCTAGATACCCAGCATAAAATGACTTCTTTCGGCAATAATTAGACATCGATTGTTTCGAATGTCTCCATGCACTCTCTATGGTGTTTGAGTGCTCACCTGTCACGGGATCTTTAAAGTGAAGACTATGGTTCACAGTCATGTGAACATAGCCGTCATCATTTAAAGTATTGTAAGCCTAAAATTAAATTAAATAAATATAATAAAATATACATAAATATATTTAAACAATTTTTTTTATACCAAACTTATGCTGGTACCACGATTATATTATATTATTTTTCTTTATAATCGTGACTGCTACTATGTTATCAGTTATATTTATTGGACCCCGTTGGGTGACTTAGTGCAACAAAAATGCATTTTATTTACCGTGTGGCTTACTTAATAAATTAAAATAATGATTTTTTTTTTTGCAAAAAAAAATTCAAAAATTTGGGAGGTCACTAAATTATAGATTTGTTCTTAGTTTATAATATTTATAATTTAAATGTATGAAAAGATATATTAACTTCCAACAATCGGAAATTATTGTTGTTCCAGGTTTTATCCATTCTTTGATGACTGCTAAAAGGGTTGTGGCATTACGGCTCTCAACCGGGACCATGAAACACTTGCCAGTTTCCCTCTCATAACCTCCAAACACCCATTGCCCTTCTACTCTATGGCCCCTATGATGTTTCCGACGTCCGAATTTGGATTCATCTATCTCAACGATGTGACCATATCCACCCAATTTTGTTTTATTAATAACCATCATTTCATAAGTCACCTCTCGACAAAACGACGACCAGTCAGTTAAGGTCTTATCTGTGAGCCTTAACTGTAGTCTCATTACTGGAAATTTGCAATTAATTGCCCACAAATTAACAAACCCACAAATTGTTAGCAATGATAGATGAGATTTGTAAAAAAATGTTTTGTGTCGGAGTGAAAGGCTACAAATAATAATAATAAGTTTTAGTTTTAATTTCTTTAGTTTAAATTCTTTTTTTTAATTTTGTTAATTGTAGGAAATTTTAGTAGTACTTACCTATAGTTGCATGTCTTTTTACCCTTTTTGCCACCAACTTTTTCACGACAAATCCACTTATATTTGTCAGTCATGKATTCATCTTTTACCAATCTCATAAAATGTCCACTTAGACATTTTTGTTCCGTTGGCAAAATACCATATTCTTGTAATTTTGTGATTAGACCTAAACCGTCGTTTAGGTCTGACCACTCTTTAAGGTCGAATAAATTTATATATTTGTCAGCTGCCATAGTTTACGTTACTTTTAATGTATTCGCGTAAGTAGAGAAAAACGAAGTGATCAATAATATTTTGTACGTGGAAATTAAAACTTGCAAAAATTGACATTTTTTGTTATCGAAAATGTATAATAAGTTTTCGTTAGATATACTTAATTTACAATTTTATGCTATTTAAATGGAACAATAAACCTAATAAAATGTGTTATTTTTATAATTATTTTATTTTTCGTTGTTTCTTTTATACGATTTTAATTTAATGGTATTTTAATGGAACAGTACACCTAATAAAATGTATTTTTTGTAATCTTCATAAAAGCTCACATTTAAAAAAAAAAGTGCAAGAAAAGTTTWACCCGAGTCGGTATTGAACGCGGACGTGGCGGGTGGAAACAGCTTCCATGACCACTGCACAACAAGCGAATACGTAAAATTGCCATCAAACTACTTATTTAAAAGATTATGAAAAAGCGTTAACTTCAATAGCCTATAACTTGAAAACTAAGTTCGAGCCCCAAATTCTGACTTCACCATCGTTTTCAGTGTACTTAACTACATAGTTTCAAAAAAAAAAAATTACAAAAAAAAGGGTGTCCGGTAAAGTATAAATATACCACGATTTTTTTTAAATCAACTGAAAAGCTAAGTTATTCCAACTGTATATTAAACTAGTTATGTTCCATAATTTGTTGAAAAAATAAACTAACTAGTTAAGTAAAAACATTAAAAAAAAATTAACTTTTTAACTCGTTAATGCCCACCTTTGACAATATCAAGTGTCAAGTACTAAAATATAATATAATAATACAAAATATCTTATGCAACATATTACATAATATACTGTCCTCAATCAGAATCATTTATCGTATACATGCAATGTATATGTCTTGAGGCACATACCGTCATTTGCACTTCTGCTTTTCGCGATTTTGTCGCGGAGTTGTGATCAATACTTCATTCACATGATCATTTTTAACATCAGGTTTTAATACAAGAAAATGTAGGAATCTTTATAGGTATGATGTGTACCGGCTCGTTGTTATCCTTAGTAAAGAGAGAGTAAGGACATATTTCAAAAAAATATACGCAAAGGCGCTTATTAAATGACCAAAAATATGTTTATTAACTCGAAACTTCAATATAACAGGTACAGGACTCTTTATGTATAGTTCTAATAATAAAAAATATATTGAAAACTCATAAGCACATTTTTTTTTAATTACATAATTAATTTGATATTTCAGATAATAACTATTATTTTTGTTTTTATAATATTTATAATTCTTATATACCTCCAACGAAGTCTGTACTAGAGACACTCCAATTCCAAGCTTTGAGTGAATTAAAAATATTAACCAACGGTGTAGATTTAGTTACATGCTCAACTATAACAATAATATAATTAATTTAATGTAGGAATTACGTGCACTGTGTATACCTAGTAAATATTTTATTTTAAAATATAATAATATACATATAGGTATGTTCATAGACGCAATTTCAACTTTTGATTTGGATGGGAGGG